GGGGGGGGGGGGGGGGGGGGAATGGGACATGACACATGCTAAATTAATCCTCTGTGAGTATACTGAAGCTGAGTGGTGGTGATGATAAGTTACACTAGATGAAGGTCTGGCCGGTGCGGTGCCTAAGTGTAAATCTCAGGCAAAGCAGCCCAGCTCAGACAACACACAGCCCCCTCCCCCCTACCTGGGGAGTCTGACACTGGAGCACTGCTGTTCCTCAACTAAACTGTTGAGCAGGTCAGCCATTAACAACATCCCTTTGTTTCAGGCACCTGTGTTGATCCTTCATGAGCTCTTGTAAGGAAACACAAATTTGCTTCTTGGCAAGTTCACTTGCATTGTAGCCACTACTTTGTAGCAGGGAGAAATTGAAATTTTTCATGGGAGAAATTGGTTAAATGACAGAACCAAGAAAGCAGAACTGAGCTGTATTCTTGGCTTGTTACCCATTAAAAATTATTATTTGGGCAAGTCAGAACTTCTAAGTGCTTTAATCTCTAATGAAAGACTGTATCCCTCATAAAAACTAAATATGTGATCAATGCTACAATTTTAGACAATTGTAGTAAGACAGATTTCACCTGTTCCTTAACAGCATTTCACATGACCCAGCGTTAGGCAGGTGGGAAGCCCCAGAGCAGTGTGCCATTGCCTAAGCTGACTGCCCCAGTGCTGCAACAGAAAGGAAGTCAGAAAGCAGTTCTTGCTTAATGGCTCTCAGCAGCAGTAGAACCAAGGTAGATCATTCCTCCTGCATTTATAATGGTTGTAGTTCCATGTACTTAAACATGGCAAGATGGCTGATTAGGGTGCAATTGTAGGTGAAATGCCTGCTTTTACCAAGCATGTAATTGATCTGTAGTACAACCTTTAATGTTTAAATGCTTCGTGGTGGTCTTACCTTAATGGGTGAACAAACCATAAACATTGTATTAGGACACAACATTTATAATAAAAATCTATAATGTTGCTAAGTGTCTTATGCTTAGTCTTCACTTACAGATATAGTATATTGAACACCAAGCCCCAATTCTTGGGTTTGGTGAAGAAATGACTATGTGAAATGCAAATGCCTGTTCTTTAAAACTATTTTTTTTCCCAGGCTTTAAAATCCACAGCCTGTTTAGCAGGCTGTTATTATATACAAGTCTTTGCACTTCCAGCTTTTATCAGGATACTTTTGCACTGGAATAATTGTATTTCATCTGAAGTCTGAGAAGTAAACTCTGTACATCCATTGTGTTCTCGCTTCCGTTGTTCTACTTGGACAAACCCTGTTAAGAGTAAGTAATACAGCAAAATTGGTTTTGTTTCTCCCACAAAGCTCCTTTAAAAGGAGAACAACAGTGTGAGGTTTAATCTATTGACTCCATCTTTGGCATGGCTTGATTATGTAATTCATTTTTTCTCCCTGCTTGCTGTTACATGAGATTGTTCCATAGCTACATTTGTAGATAGTTTAGCAGCAAAGGGGTGGGGTTTTTTGGTTTTGCTTATGTCTATAGGGGAATGGAACACATTTATAGTACAGGCCTGCAATAGCAGCACTCAGTCACTATTCTTTTGTAAAAAGGACGTTTTAGTAATTTCCACAAGACGATCACAAAATGAAGACCACAAGCAAGATAAATGACCATTTCCTTGCATTTCAAAAATCTGTCAAGGTAATACTGTCTCATGGACACAGAATTTTCTGTGGAACATCCCAAAAAATTTACTAATGGGTTCAAATTATTTACCTGACATCTATGGAAATAGATAGTTGAGGACTGAAGTTTCTGCAGAGCCCTGTATCTCACCACCGATCCTGCTAGGATGTGCTTGGTCATGTCTTGCCACTGGATGACTCTTCTAATCTAATTTGGAAGATCCACACAAAGGGATAAATCTGCCCTGAATGCCAGTAAAGACCAGGACTGAGGCAGTACACCAGATCTTCACAGTCTTGATGCAAAATCAGGGGAAGCTGAACTTGGCATGTTACGACATGCCTTTTTCCTCTATAAGAACAGTAATGTTTACTTTTCTTTTGATTATGGATTTGAACAATAGTTACAGCAGACTACAAATAAACTTGTAAAACAAATACATTTAGAGAAAGAGGTCTGATTTGTGGCAACTACTAGACAAAGTGAATGTAAGTGAAGTGCAGCTGGCACAAAATTTGATCTCTTGCACTCAATTTATTTAAAAAGCAAAATGCAAAAACTGTATCATTCACTGTTTTGTGACTGTATTACATCGTGTTTCACAGTTAATTTTAGACTTCAGTCCAAATTCCCTAAAAGGCTCAGTTTGGCTGAAAAAGAGAGAGGAAGCAATGATTATCATTACATTACCCCTGCATCCCCTGGCCTGTGCAACTCCCTGCTTCCAGATGGCCCATTTCTTTGTTTTCCCATATGCTGCCTTCTGTAACTCTGCCCGCTGCTAGCCACCAGGAACGTGCTGTGCCGTCAGAGCTTTCTGCTGCAGAGGTTCTTGCAAACCTTCTGGAACAGTGCACACACACTGTGCTTAATACTCTCCCCCATTATGCTGTGATCATGTCTGTGTGACAGCAGGACTCCTCTGGTTACAGTGTACTGCATGTTGGGCTCTAATTTTATTTCCTGCAAATAAAAGACTGACATGGCATAAAGATTTTATTGGCTTGAATTTATGCATTATTGATGAATGATTTCACGGCATTTTGTTAAAAGGGAGGTGTTCTTAAGTGTCATGACTTCACCCATCCAAACTGATAAAAAGTGTAAAAAGTGGAATCATATCTCTCAAAGTTAACTGCTATTTAAAATCAGCTGAAATTGTAATGATATTTATTAAAAAACCCAAGTCTCCTAGGTTTTTAGCTCCAGGATAACATTTTCATGACTGTCATTTCAGTTGTGTATTTTCAAGCTGCATTTTGGTCCTTTCTGGAAGGCAAGGAAAGGTGCATTATAAACATTAATGCCTTTCATTTTAGATCTGCAGGTCTGTGTAATAGCTTCAACCTGATTCTTTTAGAAGATTTAATAAAAGCTGGAGGAAAGGGATCTTGTGAGAAACATCCACATATGGTGGTAAGGAAAGGCAAATTGATTCAATTTCGTTTAGATTAGTGAACAAGATGACGCTTTTCACTGGTATAGCTATTCAAACACTCAGTGGTGGGAGTGATCTAATGAATAAATTGAGAGTGTGCTGAGGTTAAGGGAACATGATAAATCCAATTTATAAGATACTGTTATGATGGTGAGCAAGTATTAGAGGCTATCATGAGCAAGGGCTGTTTGTCAGGGGTTGTGTTCAAAGTTAAAGGGCTATAATCCTTCCATATCACGCTTCTGTTATTGAACAGACACCAAATTTGGCACTGTGATTCCTCCCTGCAAGAGGATTTTACTTTTTATAAAACTTAATGAAAAAGTGAACTTCATAAAGCTTCTACTCCTGTAAGTTTTACTCGAGTAGAATTACAGACAGTAGCCTGTAATAAATTGAACATCATATTCCCTCATCTTAGCAGTGAGGTTTACAGACGTTACAATTTCCAAATACAGTAACTTTCAAATAACAATAATTTCCAAATACAATATTAACACTAGCCCATTTAAGTAACAGAGTGCCTCTGTTAGCCATGCAAAGTAGGCAGAACAGCCACAGAGGTCAGTGGCTGACACAATATCCATCAAGCACAGGACCCTAACCATCCATCAGTGCACAGTGTGAAAGCATCTTCCCTTCTCGTCAGGGGACAAACATGAACTGCACATTCCCCGAGGAAGTGGAGAGAACAGCAGTATGTATAGTAAGAAAAATGTCAATGTTAAGGGAAAACTCACCAAAGAATTTCTTGGTATTTTTATCACTGTGCTGGAACTGCAGGCTATGAACCTTAAATATTTCTCAGGAAGCTTTCTTTTTGACTTGGAAAGGAAGGCATATAAAAGCCACCCATACTGAGATGTAATTAATCTGCATACAGAGCCCTATGTGGACATTCTGCAAATAGTACAGTTTCAGATAGTTTTCTTTTAAAAATATTTCAGTACATTCTTGTGTTACATATTAAAAGTGTAAAACCTAAAAGAGAATTGATTAATTCTTACTTAATGCCCCAAATAGCTAGACTCAACAAATCTATTCTATACAGTATCCTGTAAAATGAGTTCAGTGAACTGCAATGTAGAAATCTACAGGGAGGGGTTGTCCACCTTGATTACAGGCACCATCTAACATACTAAAAAGTAACAAAATAAAACTTCCAGTTTCTGAGGGATGCTGTACTGACTCTATGCCTGAGAAAGGAGCTGGGAATGACCTACTTGGAGCTAGTTACTTGTACAAAACGTGTCAGAGTAAGAAAGATTTTATGGTATCTGTCAATACTAAACCCTAACTGATACCAAAGCTAAAGGCAAGAGCAGAATTTTGATCAACAGAGAGGTTTACTCCTGGCTTTAGGACAGTCAAGGAGAAGAGAAAGGAAACTCCTCTGGGAATGGCAGAATCAAATGTGAACTATATTGCAACTGACTGTGCAGGAGGCATCTATATTAAATAACATGAAAACCACATTTGAGCTTTTTGCTCCCCCTGGTGAAATGTTTTGGCAAGATATTAGACATGAGTTATTGCCAGTCACTACCACAATCCACAGCCACACACAACTTGTGTTTCTGGAAAGACCCACAGGATCTGTGGGTACATGCTGAGGGTGCCAGCACTGTGTCCTAAACACTGCTTCCTCATGACACCTGCCTTCACACAGCAACCCTTCTGAAGGCAGGTGGGAATACAGCTCCTCTCACTTTCTACCTTCCCTCAGCACTGCATTTTCAAGGCTGTTCATTTACAGTCTATTAGTTTTCTGCATCAGTCAGAGGGAAAAAATGCCCTGGCAATCTGAGAGGCCTCCATCTCCAGATTCAATCCAGCCAGCCACCTCTTGGAAAAATGAGCACTAACTGGCTATATTTTTAGAAAATACCTGGTTTTCTTTGCTGCAGTTACCCAAATGCAGACATGAGAAGGACCTGATCATGCCATTTTCTCAGCCTGATGTGTAATAACTTAGGACAAAGCAACAGGAGATTGTGGCTGACCCATGAATCTTGATTTAGGAAGAGGTCTGCTGGTATTACTGAGTTCCCCAAAAGGAGCTGAGGAAGATAGGTGCCACCTCATTGCCACCTTGGTGGTGTTGCCCTGCCAGCAAACTCCACCTGAGAAGCGCTCTCCCTGCTGTCCTAGTGGCCAGCACCAGAACATAGCCACCCTCAGTGGCTGAAGAGCTGGCTTTCCCTCCCTTGACATCATGTTGTGCGAAGGCTGAGGTACACAGGTTCAGAAGCAGCCATCCCAATCCCATACAACCCTTGCCCAGTCCTTACAGCCTTCCACAACCCTTACACCATTTTCAAGCTCAGTCCTTTTTTCTACCAGCACTAGCAACACCTGCGCTACCACAGTCCGTGATGGGCCCAACTGTCTCAGCACATAAGTGCCACTTGCTGTTTCTTGCTACAACCAGAGCTGACAGTCCTGTGAAGGCACAAAGGAGTGCATGAGCTGTGAGGAAGAGCAGCAATAGGAAAAGGCAAGTTTTGGAACCCAAATGAAGGAGAGAGAATCGCCAACCCACGGCAGGACTCATTCATTGTGTCAGCAGTCTCTTACTCAGAAGTTGCATTCTTTGAGCTGCTGAACTTGTCATCTCATGGCCCAGTTTCAGCCATCAAGAAGTTATTCACATTAGTCTCCGTTTTCTTCTGTTTATAATCCACCTCATGACTCCACTCCATGCCTGAACAATTCTGATCCTCTCCCTGGCCTCACACCCACATATTTCAAGTAACTGTTGACTGCTGACTTCCCAGTGACTCACCGCCTGGCCAGCCTATTTACTGTATGTTCAGCTATTGCATCTCTTAAGGCACCATCAACATATACAAATATTTTATAAAACTCCACCGGGGCTGCTTTTAAAATAGCAGATGTAACATACTCATTTGGGTTTCCTCCAGAAAGATTACAGACTTGCCGTGTTTACTCAACAGAAGTGTAAGGATTGAAGCACCACATTCCTGTAGACGTCTGCCTTACGAAGGTTCACAGGCATCTGCCTCTTCGCCAACCTCAGCACCTTCCTCATCCTCCTTGCTATTTGTCTGAGCCTTCTGCAGAAGTCTGGGCCCTGCCAAGCCAATAACCAGAGCTCCAATTGGAGCAGTGATCAAGATTGCTAAGAAAGCTACTGTCAGCACATCCATTCCATACTTTTCCAGTTGCTCATCCTGATGACTTCTCGCTGTATCCAGGGCGAGGGAACCTATTGCAGCCTGAAGGAAAGAAAACATTGCTCAGATGGTGCAGGTAACCTTTAGCACTGAAAGAAGAAAAAAAGGGACTAATCATCAGTCAGCATTTAAAATAAATTTGACATTTTTGGTACGTTCAGCCCATTTGTTTCTAGGCAGTACATAGAAAAGTATATATTGTATTACACCTAAGAACAATTTTCACTTGGCTACACATCGAATTTCCTAAGCTAATGAGTTTATCTGGGTGGTTCCCTCCTGTGAGGAACATTGCTTAGCTGCCATCTTATTTGCATTTCTGTAGGATGTGTGATTAATGAAACGGGCCAGTATACTGCCTATTGCAGCTGTTAAAATGCCACACTTTGAAAATGTGTCCCGACAGCAGTTAACTAGTAGCAGCTTCTGAAAATTTAGTTCACAAATCTTGGAATAATCCTTGCTTGTTCAGATTATTAACTTTTGTTTGCAAGTAATCATGCTATTGAGGCAAAGTCTACATCACTTAACAATCACTGAAATAAAGGAGCTGGAATGCAGTCAGCCTGAGGCTTTTCTAGGGTCAGAGTACACCCTACCAAACAATCACAAACTGAAAACCCATTCTGAGCCTCTGGTGTGACTGTCCCTGCAGACACATCATGTCTAAGAGCTTTTATCTTTGTTTTGGGAGTTCTCAGAATCTGTATGTAAAGGGACAGTAATCTGCAGCAGCTGAGAAACAGTTAAACTTCATGTGATGTATGTACACTTCGTTGTCATTATTAAGAGTACAACCCAGGATGCAAGCAAAACACCTTCACATAGAAGGATCTCCATGTGCTTTTCAAGCAGACTTAGCATGGTTTAGAATATGAACTGTCCATACACTATGCTGCTGATAATTGAGCCTGATCCTCTCCCTGTTCTCCATGATAGCTGTGAGAAGCTTTGCTAAGGACAACAGATTTAGCTTGGAATGAAAGCGATGTTGGACTGTTTACCTGGACAGTGGCTTTGGGAATCCATGCCAATGAGACAAATACTTTCTCCTTGAAATTAAACCCAGCAAAACACACCATCAGGAACGTTGCTATGATTCGCACAACTAGGGCAATGCTTAATGTAGCAACACAGAGCCCTGCAACAGACAAACACTTCTCAGTACTTTTGTGCATAGGTGCCTGAGGGGAATAAGCTTCCTAAAACTGTAGCTTTACAGTTGGGTTGGATTTTGGTTTTGGAGGTCTGCTTTGCTTTAGTTTTCCTTATAGAGATTCTCTGGAAGCCAGTAGTGAAAGCTGGATAATTAGGGAATGATCTTACCAACAGTTTCAGGCCTAAGAGACTTAACAGATACTTCTGCTCCAATTAAACCAAAAAGAAAAGGTTGAAAGATATTCCATGCAACTGCAACAATTTTTTCTACTTCTCTCTGCAATGAAAACAAAAAGAATCTGTAAATTCCCAAAAATATGGTCAACCAGACACAACATTTAATTAATCAAAGGACAAAGTGAAAATGTATCCTAAAGATTGTCCAGAATTGCTCCTCCTTCTTTGACCTAATACTAAAAGTTTTAAAATCGCTTGCACACTGTTCCAAGGTCAGTGTGTCTAGCTCTGCTAGTAAATAAATGCCTGCTATCTCAAGAAGTGGTATCAATTGCTGATGTTTGACCAGTAACAAAGCAGTTTGCAGACAAGAGGAGAAAAATAAAGCATAGTTGATTTTTAGTATTGAGGAAGATGTAATTTGAACAGCTTTGCCATGAAGTTTCTGATCCTTTGGGAACTGCATGCTTAAAGATGTTCTTCCATTTGTATCTGAGCAGAGTCAAACACTCAAAAGTCTCAGTCATGACATAACTCTGCTCGCGCTGCGCTCAGTTAGAGGCCTGTCTCCAAGTGAGCAGGAGCAAAGTTAGACCAAGCAAGTCTGAAATCCCATACTAGTAAGAAGTGGTGAACTTTCTAGTATGAGGAAAAGCCATCTTTTTGCCTTGTGCTTGAACTTTACACTTAACAATTTTCCTAAAACAACTGCTTCCAGGATAAACAGGAATCTTGCACTTCTGTGAAAAGGTACATAGAGCATATCTAATAGCACTTCTTTTTCATTTAAGTGGGTTCTACAGTAATAAATGAACCCTCAGGCCGGAGTGTGTGGAAAATACAAGTGCAGTGCTCTGTCACTTAATAATCAATACAGGGCCTAGACATGTCCTGTCCTTGGTGTTCTCTCTGGGACTGATCCTGCAACTTTCTTGATCTTCAGTCAATGGAATCGTAGAGGACCGTAATACATAAACATCTTCTAACCTTAGAGAGAAGGAGGTGGAAAGATACAGACTTGTAAACATTTTTCATTGTTTGCCTTATTTCTCCTTGTTATCTCACCCTTTTCTTGTTTTGGCAAAAAAAATAACAGATGTTAGCATTATTTCAGACTGTTACTGCCCGTTTAATTGTTCTAGCAATAGGTACCATCTTCCTTGTTCTCTGTGGACAGTATGTGCCAAGTGACTTCCACCAAGGACAGTAGGAGGCAGTGGCCTTTGAGAAACCCAGCAGAAAACCTTGGTAATATATTGAGTACAGAGTATGCAGACATCTCGAACTGTATCTGATATAAAAGAGCTAAGGCATTTGAAATCAACATCCTTAAGGCCAAGAAGCTTCATTCACTGACCAAAAGAATTTAAACTAAGCATTTATAGACTGCATATACTCTTTCAAGGTCCTTTATTCTGAAATGATTTAAAATCTTTTCAACAGAGAGCTTTATCAGTTGTAATGTCCTTAGTAGTTAAGCCCCAAGAAGAGTTTTTCTTCTTCTAAAATTGGACAACAATGTAATGCTTTAAATAGAACCCATGGCTTCTTTTTCATTGTTTTAACAAACCTTGAGATCTTATTGAAGTCAGGGTCTAGATGGGGATAATAATGTGGATTCTGCTATATCTGATTCCCTTTCCTTTCTTCTTTTCCCCTTCTCCTACTGCATGTTGCAAAGCTACAGCTGTGGAGAGAAAGATACCCTTAAAATATTAAGTGTAGATGGTATCAAGCAAAAGAGGCAGTGAGACATGCCAAGGTACAGAAATGCAGTGGGGCCGCAACAGTAAGAGGAAGCAGGCTTAGTAGCTAAGGAAAGTAACTAATAAGCAGTCTTCTGTACGGTTTTTCTATGGCCTTATATCACCATCTATTGTGGGCCTCCTGCTTTCTGATTTATCCAGAATACACTGGCTGAGATTTGGGAAAGATGAGAGAGGATGGTTAATTACTGTTTTCCATTTCAGCCCCCCCGCCAAACCACAGGGAACAAACCCTCACAGTTTTCAGGCCATGTGCAGAACTGTTTGTAAATTTTACCATAAAGTGACTGTGTAAAGTCACAGACACTCATAGAGCTGAGACATAAAGCTCTGGATTCCTAGTCAAGTGCCTTGACAACTCAATCTCCTTTATGTGGCTTAAGATGTCTAAGAAAAGCTTGTGAGCATTTCTCTGTCAGTATGTTAGGCTTTGTATCAATATATATTCACATACACGGTAACTTTCTGTCATATTAAATGTTAAAGACTTCCAAAATAAACATAGAATTTTTTAAAAATCCATACACCCCCTAATGCTTCATAAATGCATCATTTACCACTACTGACAGAAATTCAGACTCCTGCACATTCAAAGGAGTTTTTCTATGGTATGCTTCGTTATGTAAACATTCACCTTTTCATCAGACCATCCCACACCTGCAACAAAAGCTAAGACTAATGTGCAGAGCCCTCCTGATCCAGGGAAGCCAAAGTAGATGCTGCCAAAAACAGCAAACATGGACAGTCCAAGTACAAAATATGATCTCTTCCATGCCAGAGATGCCTGCAGCCAGAGACAAACAAATACATAAATTTCTTTTAGAAATGGAGGAAAAAGGTTACTTCTGTTAATTTTGAAAATAAAAAATTGCAAATAAAAATTGCCATTAACCACTGTGAAAGAACTGAACCTTTCAAGTGAGAGCTGAAGTGCTTAGTTGAGTTGAGGGGTTTTTTTGGACATTAATTCCTAAGAAATTTAAATTTTGGATTTTTTTTTTTTTTCTGCCCATCCAAAATCTTATTGCCAATAGGCTTTTTTTATCACAAAGAACATGATGCTTTTTGTAACAGCCCTGCTTCAACGCTTTGATCACAGGATTTTCTCCCAGTGCAAGTACTAGAAAGGTTTAGCCAAGGAGAGGTGAAATCCTTGCCACTAGATGTTTTCAAGGACAAGTCAAACATTTGCAGGTACAGACTAGGTTTTTTTGATCCAATCTCACAGCAGACAGTTATATCTCTGCCATTGTTCCCCATTTCTGTTTATCTGTTTAGGTCCTGTACTACACTTCTTAGGTTATTTAATAAGAAGAAAATGTGGTCCCATGAGGGCAGTAGATGCTTTGCAAGTGATTTCAGTAGTCCAGAACATATCTACTTTCTTCCACAATTTTCTGTTCACTTAATAGCCCCTTGATTGTAAATGAATCTACCACTTTATATGTTTAATTTTTATTGAAAGTAACACACTCTAATTAGCGCTAATGATATGCCCAATCACTTAAAGGCTACAATCTGTCTGCTTTACTTGTTTTTAATCTTAGGCCTGCAGGAAACATCTCATAGAAGTAAATGTGTCACATATCAATCTAATTGATGATTATTCTACTGTCTGAAGTGGGTATGAGACCCTTTCCCCTTTACTTGCGGACATTTCTACCACCTTCAGCGAGAGCAGGATGTTAACTGGGTTCCAAACTCTGCATCAGGAAGGACTATGAGACCATACATTTTTACTGTTGCAGTAAACAAGTATTCACCTATAAAACACATCCTCACTTGACAGGCTTTGTAACCTGGAAGCTGTTAGCGCTGTACACAGCCTTCCCCAAAACCAGCTTCACATGAAGCTTGGAAATGAATAATTTAAGAACATAATCCCTTCGCAAAGATTCTCTGTTTTAGAAGGTTTTTTTACTGTGTTTTTACCTGATCATGGCTTGGGAAATATCTAACAAACATTCCCAGAATCCCCCCAGCTGCTATGCCAACAGCAACCTCCAGCACTCCACGGAGCACATTGTACAGAGTAGAACCTATTTGGCAAAAGAAAAATGGGTTCAGTAATAAGCCATACTCAGGCCCTTCGCATACAAACCACACCGTAGACCTACAAGGGTGATTCCAGACAGTGTCTGCTTTAAATTACTCGGGGGCAAAGGGGTTCAGGAGGGAACCTATGGGCCTGAAAGAACTAGATAGTGCAACTTTCTCTCTCTGAAAGCTCATGCTAAGAAAGTGTGCCAGAGAAGCCAGGGAAAGAGCCACTGTGAGAACAGAGCCAAACCCAGGGTAATTTGAAAGCATTATGCTGTGCATGCAGGGACCAGACTTGGCAGCTAGATAGGGAAAAATGTTCTCTGAAAGTTTTTGTGACCCACAACTCGGAGCAGACAATGTTACACCAAGACTTCTGGTGATGGGTAATTTCTCTCTCAATATTCAAGTCCATACGTGAACTGTATGAGAAAATGTCATTACGTTACAAACCAGTCAGTCATAACTGAGCACACATTCTTCAAAATATCCCTGTACTGGATTTCACCACATACAGATTAAGCAGCATACCGGAAGAGAAAGCCATCCCAAGGCAAGTGTTGAAGCCTGTGATAGCCATAATGTCATCAATGCTGCCAGCTGCCATTAGCAAAGTTGGGACACCTTTCTCCACCCCATATCCCCCAGCTTGTAAAATCAGCATTGAGGGAACCACCACAGCAGGGGAGACTGCACCTAGAACAAAACTGAAAACACAGAGGTTCAGCCTCTCTTAAAAAGAAAGCACTGAACTAAAAAACTTCAAAATATTCTGACCCCAATTCTTTTAAAGTATAAATAGACCTTTACATAAGGTATTACCTTTCCCTGCTAATTACAAGCAGGGATATTTCTATGCAGATCTGCAATCAGCTCTGGCTTCTTGCCCAACTAACAGTATTAAAAGTAAAGGGCTCCACGTACTAAGACTTAAGTCAACACTGCAGGCCAGTTATGCTCCCTGATACATGCCTTGATTGCCCCATTTAGGAACCTGGTCTAGACACGCTTATGACTCAGTAGTGGAGTTCCTCAGAAAAATCAGCATGTGGAGAGAAGCAGTTAATCCATCTCGCTCCAGTATGTGTCCAGGGCAATTCCACCAGTTTAGATAAAACTAGTTGGAAAAGGTTTCCTCTTCAAGGATATTACTCCAGAATATAACATGCCATATCCTCACCCTTGACTTGTGACAGGAAGACTGTCGTACATGCATCTCTCTACGAGGAAATTCTGAATTACAGTATGAAGATTCTCCAAATTGTGGTATCATTTTCTGTCCCTAAATGCCCCCTGTGCTGTGGTAAAAGACTCAGGGATTGCACCATCCTTCTTCCTTCTTCAAGCATTCAGATCACGAACACAGAAGAATAATGATGCAAGTACTCCTCCACAGCCTGGAAATGTGACCTTTAAATTAGCCACAGAGCCAGACACGAATGGTAAGCAAACAATCACATGGGCTAAGCAGACCTTCCTAACCAGCATTACACCAAGGTCTCTACTTGGCATGGAGAACTAACTGCTCTTAGATTATTTAACTGTAGCATGAAAACAGGCACCATTGTCATACAAGAGAAAAGAGAATACGTTACCCCAATATAAATCCCCATTGCCATGGCAAATGCATGAACAAGTAGGCAAGAACAGCAGCTGTGCATGTTTCTGAGATGCACGGTCCAAAAGAAAGCCGTAAACAGACTGCTTTGAGCTTCTTAAGAGCCTACAATATACAAGCACATTCAGACATTAGTATTGCTACCCCTCTGAGCTGCAGTGCAGGATGTGACAGCTTTACATGGCACAATTGGCTTTGGATAAAAAACTCCAACCGTGGCAGTGAAACTCACTGAATCTAGGTTCAGCAAGGTTCTGGAATGTCACAAGGAAGGAGTGGCAGAAAATTCTGTTTGGCTTCTTGTGCAGAGCAAACTAAATGTGAGAGCACTGAGATCCATTTGAAAACTGCAGCCTCAACACAGCTGACTTACCCATAGCTACTTGAGGTCATTTGCTCTAGCCACAAAAGATTTTGCTATGATGCCACAAGTTACACAAGCATACCCCAAAAATTATCTCAAAATCCAGGAACAAATCATGGAAAGTCACAGAACTCCATAAACTTGGCACAAGGAGCCAACCAACCATCTCTTTCAGCTGTCTTTCACTTGATATCCAGAACACATTAAGTTCCATTTGGCTCAGCAATGTCTATTCAAAAATGTCTTTAAAACAGAGTATTTACTTGCAATGTCTGCCTTTAATATCTAGTCACAAACATGACTCTGCTAGAACAGGTCCCCAGTTTTAACATGGGGGAAAAAAAAGTAAAAATCAGAGAGTTGCACTTTTTACCAGCACAGTTTATCCCAGCATAATTAGGGCTTGCTAGAGCCCTTGCTTAGGGTTCACCAGAGCAACTGACACCTCTGTCTTCACAGATTCAATTACATGAGGAACAATTGTAACTGCATCAAAGCACTGCTACATACAGAGTTCAAATGACAGTTTTGATTGCTACATGGGAGAAAAATGACCCAAAGATCAAGTTCCCTTGGCAAAAAGAGCTGTAATGGAAGGAAAAGTCTGTGACAACACAGAGTCCATGATCATTTAAAGCTTCAATGTCTTGGAAAAATAGATGATTGTAATCTAGAAAACCAGGCATTTTTCAAGAATGACAAAACCCTATTTTCCTAAATATCTGAAGCACTGGCAACTTCCTAGAGTTTTTCTCAGTTAAGAAAAATAAGTTTAGTTGTTCTGAACTAGCTATACTTGACCTAAGTTTTAGATAAACTTTAAGTGTTCCCTTAAACAGATAGGGGCCAAAATGTTAGAGCTTTATTTCAGGTTATTTTTGATCAAGCAAAACCTTGCCCTTATTAATTTATGGAACAGCACGTTTCATAGTGTGCAGAGGAAGACTAGTTTTTTGTTCACAGGAGTGTTATGGGCTTCATTGGGATGTGAAGCATTGTTTCTGTAATGCAGCAGGACTCAGCTTTGCAATTAATATATTTGCATTAAAATGGCAATGATTCAAAAAGAAAAGAGTAAAAAAGGCACACAGACTTGGATTTTTTGGCTGGTTGAGTTTTTCTAATTTGTGTCAACACAAGGAACATTCTTTTTCAAGGATTGGGGATCCCTTCCATTACTTGTTTTAGTTTGTCAGTGTAAACTGACAGGGAGTTTGTCAGGGAGTGAAAACTTCCTGACAGACCATGATGGAGCACATAGCCTCAAGATGTTCTGCTCACAAAATTCAGTAAATTTATTTAAGGCAAGGGGGAAAATAGTCATAAAATCAGTTTCCTTCAGGTGTTTTTTGGATTGCTCGCCTACTCTCCAAATTCAACTGCTAATATTAACGTACATATGACTATACAATGCTTTCTGTAATGATCTAATTTGCAGATTCTCTAAGGCTGAACAGTTCAGTGTTTTTAACAGAACCAATAATTCAGATTTTTTTGAGGGCTGTTGTATACTTTGCTTCAGACAAATGGCTGGTGCCATACCTTTGGATCCAGGCCAAGTCCTGCTCGGGTCAAGATAATTGACAGAGCAATATTCCTCAGTGCAGCAGACCAGCGCAGGTTTATCTGGACAATGTCACTAATGAACGGGGTATTTCGGATGAGGAAACCAGCAAGTAGCATCCCTTAAATGAAAACAAATAGGCTCCTTTCAAACGATTTGTTTTTATTGCACAAGAAAAGCTTGCATAGAATTCTTAAAAATAGACACCATATTATGTATTTATGAGAGACAAAGAAGCAATCCATGTTCTGAATTATTAGCCATGTTTTAACAATGGAAACGGAAGCATGGAAAGAGAGAGACACGTTTAAAGCAATAAAAGTGGCCTAAGAACAAACCAAGTCACCAATGAATAAACCCGCAGGATGCTGACATGTAACTTTAGTGCGAGTCAACAGAATTCAGCTCTCTTCACCAGGTGCGGGCCATACTTACCACAAGCCAAACCACCTCTGCATCCTTAAAGATATTTTTCTTGTTAGCTTGTTTGAACATGAAAAGAGTAAGATCATCTAATATCGTGTATTTATCTCAGAAGTTGGAAATTTAAAAAAATCCTCTTAGGTGTAAGAAAGTATGAGGTTTAGACTGGATATCAGGAAGCATTTCTTTACAGAACGGGTATTGGAACGGGCATTGGAATGGGCTGCCCAGGGCAGTGGTGGAGTCCCCATCCCTGAAGGTGTTTTAAGAGTCGGATTGGGGCTTAGGGATATGGTGTAGTTGAGAATGGTCAGTGTGAGCTTAATGGTGGGACTAGATGATCTTCAAGGTCTTTTCCAACCTAGATGATTCTGTGAAAAGCAGGTATCACAGAAACCATAATGTTGAGTTCATTGGGAAATATAATTTAGAACAGCTAATTGTGGACTAACTTAGACATTTTACAATACTCTGGCAACATGACTTTTATACAGAGGGGGGAAAAAACTGAGAAAAAATCAGGAACTTGGTCTTATCCTCTATGTGAGCTACCTGCAAGATCCAACCTTTTGCAAATATTAGCAAAACTGTCTAATCAGAGACTTCCTGCAAAGCTATCAAAACTGTAGTTCTGGAAGGATATAGAAAAGTCCAGTAAAGTTCACTTTAAATGTATTATAGATCTGCAACGATTCATTGTAGGTCCTGATGATTCAAAGATAGATTTTTGTGACATAGTTTTATATTAGCCTCCTTAAGAAACAGGAAACCAAAAAAGAGAAAATGTGAACAAACACTGTGCTCAGTTTGGTCCCAGCTTGGTGTGAGCCTTGCCTGTGAACTCAATTTGATCTGGAACACACTAAACTTTCAAACATTGCTCTTCCCACCACCTCTCCGAAAAAAAAAACATGGCATAATTAATCTGCAGTACCTCATGACAATTATATCTGGCTAGCATAATGATCACATGCTCTTTGCAATGTTTGCATGAGGTCCAAATCACTGGAGCTACCCTGATCTACTTAACAAAGCAAAAAACTCCACCTCAGACATTCACGGTTCTGTTCCATGTTGCCTGCTGCAGAAACCTCTCTGCAATGTATACCTAAAATACACTGTGTGACTGTTTCAGGAGCAATTTCATTCATTTTTTTCCCGAGATAGAGGCTCACTCTAAGGTGCTTAAGTGCTCAGCCAGCCACATTATGCTCAACTGCACCTAGCACAAGTGGATTAAAGGCATGTAAGAGTACAAAATGTGTATTTTTAGTGTAAAAAAGAATATTCAAAGATACTGTGTATCTCTTCTTCTGATCTGTAGATTTTCCAATTTTTCTCAAAGACTTGGGATCTGAACAATGAACTCTGTCCTAAGCAACTCAACAGACATGTGCTGTCACGCTTAAGTTTCTGTTGTTCATTATTACCTGTCTGACAAGCAGTTTCATGCCTAACTCATAACTCTTAGATACAGACGTAATTAAAAATAATTTTTTTTTTTTTTTTTTTTTTTTTTTTTTTTTTTTAAGGGTGGTGTTTACTTAAAAAGGGCAGACTTCCTGTGTATTACATCCTGTATTCATATTATTGCAGGCATGCATGCTATATGAAAAACTTCCCTCCCTCTCGTCTCAATTTTTTCTTGCTCGTGAAACTAAGCAGTGCAAGAACGTGTGTGCTGCCTGGATGGAGCCGTGTATGAAGCTATCGATCCCTTCTGTAAGCAGTGCTACTGCGTGAGGCACACCACCAGCTATGCAGGTTACAAAATCACATCCGTGAACTACAGGCAGGTATTTTGTAGTCTGCGCTAAACCTAAGGGGGCAGTATACAGCTGGTGAGAAGAACCTGGAGCTTTATTTTTCAACTTCGTTGACACTACAGCAATTCACAATATTGTACTGATCTAACCAAAACCTCCTCTAGAAAATAAGTCTGAAAAGGTTCTGATGATGTCAGAATCAATGTAATTTTCATCTCCCACTTATATTTTGCATTTTTATGTACAATAAAACATGATGTTGATGTGAAAAACTGTTATAACTGATTCAAAATAACTCTCTTCAGAAGAATTACTCCTTGTGGTGAATTTCTCAGGTTTCAGTTATCTTGAGATAAAGGAAGCAGAAAGAAATTGATCTGGATTACCAGTAGTAGGAAATCCCTGTAGTATTTTTTTTGGAAGACATTTTTGTTGTGTGAGATACGTGCGGAACAGCTCAGCAATAATTTCCTTATGAATTAATTATTCTACTATAAAAGGAGGTCTAGATTAAGACTCCTGTTTAGGAATATTAAACTCAAATTTTAAGTAACTCTGACAGAGGGGACTGAGGAAAATAACCTTTGAATCTGTAGGTATACAGTTCTCTTGTCCCCCAAAGAATTAAGAGGAGAGCCTTAGCAACATACAGGAAATTTCACTTGAACCAGTTTGGAGAATTTTGCACCTTCTCAGAGAGGAGCAGATACAAGTCACTTGGAAAAGCCACAGAATTTGAGCGTGATGCAATCTGCTTGTTCCCAGTGCAAACATCCCTAGCATGCAGATACTACTTGACAGTTTAGACAATACAAATATGCAGGAAGAAGGATGGATATCTTACCCAGAAGAGCAGGGAGAGGGGGTAATGTCCGTATTTTAATGAATCCAAAAATTTTACCTCCAATGACAGCAAAAAAATAAAGAAAGAGAATTCCAAACAGATTTCCACCTGGGAGACACTCAGTCCCAGTGATGGACCAAACCACAGCCCAAACCAGGATCACGATTACAACTGAAAAAAACCAAGAAATATTAATATTTCACCATCTCTCAGGGACGACTTTGTTTTCTATTAAATCACATTTGTTCTTCTACTAATGCAAAAGGTACCATTGACTTTCAGAAATAAAATCACTTACCTTAAAAATCAGGTTTTTGCATTAGTAGAAAATGTGTTTAACTCTGATGCTCCTTAAACTGGTCTGATTTTACAGATGCTAAGATACTTCAAAAAATGATAACAGGAACATCATTAGTGACCAAAAACTACTGAGTGAGCCTTGGGCCACTGTGGAAAGCACTAAACAGGTCCCAAACTAAAAGCAAATACTTTCACTAATTTATCTTGCATTTGCCCATCTTCCTTCAGTTACTTCCGAACTGCAGTAAGAACCTGCTGCTCTACAGCCTGGCACATCTTCAAGCTAATGAATGCAGCTCCAGTCCAGTTTTTAAAGGAATTTAAGTATATTTTTTTTGGCTGGATGTGCTTGTGCAATAAATTGTCATCCTTGGGGAAAAAAATCTGAAGGAGATCATGTCTCTGGACAGCCTGAAGCAGTACAGACACTTCCCTTGATCAAAGAGGATAATACACAAAGAAAAAAAAATGCCTGAAAAATAATTATGATAACATTAAGTGAAAATATTATAAAATCTGTGAAAATATTACCCTCTTTCCAGGTTTCCAAATCTGTTCCTACAGTTATCCAACCAGAACAGACATGCATAGATATAAAAGCAGAAGACTGAAGGATAGGAAAAAATGTGTTGAACAAATCCCTCTTCTCATAATCATAAGAAGATGTATAGCATTTTCAGATCATATTTTTCTTAATCCTATTTGAGGGTGACAGCTGGCAAAGGGAAACCCAGTAGATTTCCAAATAAGGATCCCAAGTGAGAGAGAAAAGAGGCTTTGGAAGCAGTCACAACCACAGGAAGTGTATTCTGTTAGGAAAAGTCTGAAATAACTGGTTAGCCAGGCACTCCCTTCTGTGAGACTTCAGTGTAGGGCAAATCTTAACCAGAATGGGTCCGTTTGCACTATTGTTAGGATTCTTGGCTTTGCAAGCCTGGGGTATTAAGGAACAAAAGAAGGTATCACTGCAAAGTCTTAGATTTGTTGTCTTAAGTCAACAAAAAGCTATCCAGCCTGCCAAACATACCACTGTGTTTGTAATCATCTTAGTGCTCTCACACCAAAACGAACTGTCAAGATGAGGATTAGGAGGTCTTTCTTCTGATGAAAACAATTTGTAATGCAAAAACATACCTACTATGTTAAACACAGAAGAGAGGATGGAAGAGCGAAAACTATACATTCAAATCTTTGTTTCACCTCGTATTTTTTTTCTGCTAAAACATTGAAACAAAAGTGTGATATGTTAAAACATAGCCAGTTCCCTTCATTATTTTCAAGGACAATGGACAGATATCATCACATCCAGAGAAAAAAGTACTTCATTTGCCATTACTCATTTTAATTTTTCTTACATACCATTTGTCACTGTTTGGGCCAGTAAACCTTGAGGAGGACAAGTAAATATCTGTCTCCATGTTCTTGCAGGTATTGAAGACCCTGCTACTGGTTCTGGAAGTTGCTGAGCACGATTCAAGAGAGCAGTTTCTTCTGTTTGTATATTCCCATCAGTACCTTTGGCACCTACTGTTGGTCGTCCCTCCTGAATGAAAACAATGAGACTCTCTCAGAAGTGGCATGTTTGAAGTAGTGTACAAGGCCCAAAATCAGCTGCAGTGCACTACTAGATCCATACTGTCTACAGATGACTACATTAACAGCTTTGGAGTAAATTGGGGTTTTTTTGTTATGTGTCTGTTTTCACACAGCATGAAGAACTGCATATGAGAGACTGCAGAACATTTGCCTTCTTATCAGCAACTGACAGGACTACTGTCACAACAGAAATAGCACCTGTTCACAGCAACAATATCAGCATATCTGGTGAAGAAACAACATTAACAGGCCAGGTTCACCTTATCTTGTATACATACTAAATATTAATATTTTCTACAATTTTATAAGGTTCTGTTTCCAGGCTGAATTTTGCAATACAATGCACAACTAGCATCATTCCAGTGAGACGAGTGTCTTTAATATAATTCCTAAAAAACTTTGGTTGCAACACCTTGAACCGAAATAACAAAACCTACTCATGATTAGACAAAGACGAAAGAGAACAGCTGGTCAGTGCAAGCATTACTCACATGATCCATTGCTGGAAGGCTCAAGCTGGTAAGTCAAGATAGAGATAGAGAGATAACCACCCTGGAAGTTATTTCCTTGAAGAATGGTTCCCTGAAGCTGTTATCTTATACTGGTCCATCTGCTTATTCATATTCATAGCCAAAGCCCTTTTTGACCATTTTTGGGTATGTGTCTCACTTCATTTTAGGGTCCTTATTTTTGACAAGTTAATCATCTACCTTCTCTTACGATTATTCACCTTCATGTCAGCTCGTTGTCATAGCATAGACATGGAATTCTTGCCTATACTGTGGTTTGGCCCTCCTCCAGTAACAGTTCCACATTCCTGATTATTCTTCTGTCTCATCTCTCTCTCTCTCTCTCTAGATATATATATATCCCTTACTCAGAGTCACAGTTGGAACACAAATCTTGTGAGCTTTCAGCGTGGAGTTACTTGCTTATCCACCCTGTGATTCTGTGATCACCAGCTACCCATGTGTATAAAGATATGCCATACAGTACTTACCTTTATAGTCAATACTACATGTTTACTCTAAAGTGCCTTTTATATTAAGAATTTTATTCTTACTTGCATTTACTGCATATCTTTTTTAAAGCTATAGAAGTTTCCAATAACAGTGGAAATAGACACGCAGAAATTTAAAACTGTGGGGTTTTTCTATTTTTGTTAGATAAGAAAAGGAAAATGAACAATTTTCAGCAAGTGGACCAATAGGCACAATTTGAAAGCAAAGAAGCAATCTTAAGTCCACGTAGTTCTCTTCCATAGCTGATTATAAAACATATGCTGATACATTTTCCACTTCAAGCTGAAATTGCAACCACTGATTTACAGCAATACAACATACTACAGATTTTTAAAAGCTGAACATTTGTTAATTTTAAGCAATTCCCACTGAGGAGATTTCTCTTTGTATTCCCTTCACATATAGGGATTTTAACAGATGTAGGAAGAAAAAGGAAAGGGAGTGTTCCCTCTCATGAAAATTGTACCTTGAGATCTGAATTACTTCACTTTGCTCATGCATGGGAATCATGCCATTTCTCTCACATACTGATGGCTCAGAATCTTCATCATCATTTACAATATTCTCTTTTACCATTGTTGCAAACCTAAGGAAAGCAGTAAACATAGAAAACTCAGAGAGAAGCAAAAATACCATTTCCCAGATAGAAGACTTCTCAGAAGTTGCCTCCTTCCCCACAGATCAGGTGAAAAAGCTCTCACGCCCAATTTGGAATTCTGCCTGCAGAATTAGTTCTTTGCATGCCTGTGTATGCTGTATGTAAGAACAAGAGATAGAAACTAAGAGAAGAACAGCATCAAGCTTACGAAGTCAAGCACTAAACAAATTTTTTTAAATCAGAGTTTTAGAATCATGGTGATCTGTACTAACCTATTATTTCCCTCTTAAAAGTCTGGCTGTTATATATATATATATATATATATATATATATGTGCCCCCTATCAGCAGAAGATAAAGGTTATTTGTTGTCAACATCAGTTACCAGGACCATTAGTTCTGAAAGTGTCACAGGCCCTGTGTGCATAGCAGTGCAAGCAACCATTTCATAAAGCTAAGAACAACTACAGTTTCTAAAGAATACACACAAGGGGACATTTTTTCCCTAACTTAAACCTGACCAGATCCATCTCGATTTTCAGAGGAATTTTCAAGAACACAGTTCTGTTAGGTGTCACTATTTGCAAGCACACTGACTGAATATCTAAGAAACAGAAGATGCCTGTTAGAATAAAGAACAGGACTATGCACAACTTGCACTCTATATTCAGGTGAGGCTGATAAAACATGGCTCTTTTTTACTGCCGATATCCCATGGAGATACTTTTCAGAGTGGGAAAGAAAGTCCAAGTTGTTTGTGGGTAACTGTCGTTTTATTTACTCTAACTGTTCCACTTGTCCTATAGATACTACAAGAGACAAGGCAGTGTACTGCTGTGTATGTCTGAAATTTTTTTTGGTCTGAATATTTAGTACTGTTTCATAAATCTAAGCCAGCAAGGGTTGAATGCACATATCTGAAAACAAGGCTTGCTGTAACAGTGAAAAACACTAGCAAAGGTGTGCATATATTCTCTACCAACTACATTTCAGTGCTTAACAGCATTTCCTTGAAGCCTTTTACATTGCTCTGGCCATATAAAACACTACTAAGTTAAGCCAGAACTTCTGAGCCAAGAAATTCCTTTCTTGCCAAATTGCTGGAAGCAAGTCAGAGAGCCAATTCTCACAAGTATCAAGCCTTCAGTTTATAATGGTATGTTTGCTATTTGGGAACAACTGATGCCATGAACAAAGACAAGGGCTATTTTAACACCTGGGTGGTTTTGTTTGAGCTGTTCTGATATGAAACTGGTTTGAGACATGGCCAAGGCATAGAGAAGAATACAGAGCCACAGACAAACACTTTCAATGTGTTTTAAGGTAATAGTTTTGCTTTCTTTCCTTTTTAAATGTAAAGTGTTAATTTACTCAAATTCCAGTACTTTTCTGTATTTATAGCTACTTCTTGCAGAACCAAATACTTGGGGTTTCAAAGTTTTTAATGAAATAAGTGATACTTGCAGGCATTTTTCATAGATTTGTTCCTCCTTTCATGCGGGCTGGGAATCCACAAATGCCAATCTAACTGGACTAGAAAGTATTAGAAACCTAGCAGTGTCTCTCTCCTTCCCTTCACCAGCCACTTCCCCAGGGTAGATATACTTCATTTTGTAATTCTTAAAGGGGAGTGTGCGGGTAAGGAACAGAAGGACATCGCTCTCCATCCAGCTTTGCATGGGCAGCTTCCCAGTTCTTGAGGTCATGTAGCTATTGACACTAAATAGTTAATATTTCTCAGAAATCCAAGTTTACCTCCCAACACTTTCAGCTCCTGATTGCATTCTTCAAAGTAGCATATAGGAAAGACTGATTAAGCAAGGAGATTGGATGTTCTGCTTAGCAGGAATGGTTTCAAGGTGTAAATCTGATAGCATATGTGTTGCCTTTATCTGTTTCGTGACAGGTCTTCACCCTGTTCGGTTCTCGAAGCTGTTACTTTCAAGCAATGGCCAGTTCCATTAAAGTGAGTAGTTAGTTTACTCACATCTGAGTGGGGCTTTCTTAGGTTCATGGTATTTGTTTGTTTTGAGGTGGTTGTTTTTGTTTGGGTTGTTGTGTGGGTTTGTTTCATCTTTTAAACTTCATCCCCTATACAAACAAAATCAGTGATTGAGAAATCATGGCGCAGGATTCATCCCACGGGGTTAAGGCCTGTACCATGGAAACCAGCCAGTAGCAGACTTATTTTAGTACCTCCCTGTAAAGTATACTCTCCTTATTTTGAAACAGGGAAGGTTTTTATTAGATCCTCTCACTTTACTTGTTTTTAAGGAACAGAGAGGAGGAAAGAGAGGGAGAGCTGAACCAAGGGGATGACTGACAGGGGCAGCATGTGCACGCCTGTATTAGCTCTACTGCCCTGTTGACTGTCAAGGTTCTGCTTTGCCCACACACCCAGTACAGAGAGCAATACAACTAAAATACCACAGCCACCGCCAGAGCAACTAACATTCAGAATAATAACTTAAAAAAGGGCAACTCAAGCCATGCACATCATCATCCACAGAACGTAAACCCTGGCAACGCAGACTCCTTCCTCCCCGCCTCCCCCCGCCGCTTCCCGCCCGTTACCTCTCCT